TGGTTCAGGGGTGAAAGTGTCATGGTGCACTGACCAACTTTTCATGGGGTAAAATCAACCAACTGGGAAGCCACTATGGTGCAGTGGCTAGACTCTCACTGTAGATCTGAAGGTTGTGGGTTCAAATCCACAAGAAGCTAGGATTTGTTTTTCAAGCATGACCTTGGCTCCTAGGTCGAACCCAGCCTTAAATGGGTAGCAGGTAAAGTTTTGGGAAGTAAAGGCAGCCAGCGTGATGTTGACCACATCGGACATCGAGATCCGATTGGTCTATAAAACTATGCGTCTTGGCTCACATGCCCAATGTGCCACTGGCCTGTAAACAGGCTTTCAACATTGACCAACTGGAAACATAAAATGAGAGGCCTTTTGAGACATAGAGTGACACAACAGGATGCTGAGATGAATATCAAAATGACACTGCATTAAAATTGTGTGTTAGCGGGGGCGAGAAGGAAGTTCTTATATTCTAAGGCAGATAGTTCAACGAGAAGTAATATTTTTAACTTCTTCGTTTTCTTCATTTTATTCCTGAATGGAGCACAAACCCTCAACTAGATCAAACATTGTGCTGTCATTTGTTCACCCCATTTCCTCTCCATCTATTTAACTTCCCTTTCCAGCTCTCTTCTCCTCATGTTTTTGGTCTGCCTTTTTTTCTATGTCCCTGTGGGTTCTAATGCAAAAGCATTCTAACTATCTATTCTCAAGAATGTTCTATGAGCCTGATGTTGCTTTGGCAAAAGTTGACCACCGAAGTTTACTACATGGTACATGATAATGATAAGTGTATCCCAAATGCTTTTGCTATAAAAACTTCAGGGTACAAAAGAGTTAATACAGCAGCCATGTGGGTGTGAGCTGTATGAAAGAGTTAATACAGCAGCCATGTGGGTGTGAGCTGTATGAAAGAGTTAATACAGCAGCCATGTGGGTATGAGCTGTATGAAAGAGTTAATACAGCAGCCATGTGGGTGTGGGCTGTACGAAAGAGTTAATTCAGCAGCCATGTTGCTGTGGGCTGTACCAAAGAGTTAATACAGCAGCCATGTTGCTGTGGGCTGTACCAAAGAGTTAATACAGCAGCCATGTGGGTGTGGGCTGTATGAAAAAGTTAATACAGCAGCCATGTGGGTGTGGGCTGTATGAAAGAGTTAATACAGCAGCCATGTGGGTGTGGGCTGTATGAAAAATTTAATACAGCAGCCATGTGGGTGTGGGCTGTATGAAAAATTTAATACAGCAGCCATGTAGGCTGTATGAAAAAGTTAATACAGCAGCCATGTGGGTGTAAGCTGTATGAAAGAGTTAATACAGCAGTCATATTGCTGTGGGCTGTACAAAAGAGTTAATACAGCAGCCAGGTTGCTGTGGGCTGTACGAAAGAGTTAATACAGCAGCCATGTGGGTGTGGGCTGTATATAAGAGTTAATACAGCAGCCATGTTGCTGTGGGCTGTACGAAAGAGTTAATACAGCAGCCATATTGCTGTGGGCTGTACTAAAGAGTTAATACAGCAGCCATGTGGGTGTGGGCTGTACGAAAGAGTTAATACAGCAGCCATGTTGCTGTGGGCTGTACAAAAGAGTTAATACAGCAGCCATGTGGGTGTGGGCTGTACGAAAGAGTTAATACAGCAGCCATGTGGTTGTGAGCTGTATGAAAGAGTTAATACAGCAGCCATGTGGATGTGAGCTGTATGAAAGAGTTAATACAGCAGCCATGTGGGTGTGAGCTGTATGAAAGAGTTAATACAGCAGCCATGTGGGTGTGAGCTGTATGAAAGAGTTAATACAGCAGCCATGTGGGTGTGAGCTGTATGAAAGAGTTAATACAGCAGCCATGTGGATGTGAGCTGTATGAAAGAGTTAATACAGCAGCCATGTGGGTGTGGGCTGTATGAAAGAGTTAATACAGCAGCCATGTGGGTGTGAGCTGTATGAAAGAGTTAATACAGCAGCCATGTGGGTGTGAGCTGTATGAAAGAGTTAATACAGCAGCCATGTGGGTGTGAGCTGTATGAAAGAGTTAATACAGCAGCCATGTGGGTGTGGGCTGTACGAAAGAGTTAATACAGCAGCCATGTGGGTGTGGGCTGTACGAAAGAGTTAATACAGCAGCCATGTGGGTGTGGGCTGTACGAAAGAGTTAATACAGCAGCCATGTTGCTGTGGGCTGTAGGAAAGAGTTAATACAGCAGCCATGTGGGTGTGGGCTGTACGAAAGAGTTAATACAGCAGCCATGTGGGTGTGGGCTGTATGAAAGAGTTAATACAGCAGCCATGTGGGTGTGGGCTGTATGAAAGAGTTAATACAGCAGCCATGTGGATGTGCCTCCAACTGACTACAAATGAAATCACAAAGATTGAATCTTGATCCACCCTTCAGTGTTACTTTCTTGCAGTACAATATTTATGCATTTATTACTGCTGTGTGCAACACCTTAGGCCTATTCAGGTTTCTGTATGTGGTTTTATGTTTTTATGTCAGTGTCCCGTGAGGTTTGTGAATAGTTCAATGGCAGCAAAGAAGATTTTATCTGTTGGGCTAGGCGTCTTAATGTGTGTCAACCAAGCACTGTGAACACTAAAGAAATAAGGTTAGTTTCTGCAGACCTGGTTTTGTTAATATGGCATGTGCAGCAAGGGGGACAAATGTGTTCTGCACAGGCAAGAGTTGTGCAAATCGTAACTTATCATACAGACAAGCACAAATAAACATCTGAATACTGACTGGGCTTTTATTTACCTGTACATATGACATAATACACAAATGAATGCAATGTCACTATAAGCTAACTCCTAATGGCCCAAAACTGGGTCAGTAGGGCGCAATATATTACTATGTATATAAATATTCAAGAACTTGGTCCCATTAGCTTATGTTAGATCTGGCAACTCAAATTTTGTAGTGCAATGTCAAATAATCAAATACTATTACTACCCTAATTACTTCCGGTCAAAATGGACGTTAGGCAGCGGCACTGTTAAAAACAGAGGCAAATTTTTTGCTTCTGCCGGACGGTGGCCGATGCATTTTTGCTCCATTTGTAGACTGGATATAGTTTCGTCACCCAGCTTCTGAGTTGAATGCATGGCGTGACCCTGTGAGCTGCGGATTGCATTTGGAATGTTTTTTCGACTGTGACCAACGTGTTGGTGTGAATTGTAGATTCAGAAAATGGCCAATGCCTATTGTGCAGTGTTGTGGTGCTCGTATGTGATTAAAATTGATCGCGTGGGCAACTGCTGATCTGTTGGCGACTTCTGCCACCATCAATGATGAACTGCAATTCTAATACTGTGATAAACATTCTGTGTATTTTTCGTTGGCACAGGAGCGGAGAAAAGATGGGGTGACCCGTTTGCTATGAAGCTGAAACTAAGACTACCAGACTACCCTAATTAACAATATCTGTAAACTCGGGACACATGCAGAAATGATCACTCTCAAAAGTTATCAAAATGTAATGATGCTTAAAATACTCTGTATCATTAAGGCAGGACACATGTTTAGCACAACTATGAAATTTTCTTTGTTCTTCTTCTGTGTTCACCCTTGTGGTCAGCATGTTTCATTGCTGCTTACAGCAAGGCTGAGATATCTGCCTATTCAGCCCAACACACATGATTTCAGCAACCTCTTAATCAATATCCGTTTATGACACAATTATCAGTGAAGCGGTGTTTTTGTCTCCCCCCTCCCACCAAAACTGTGGTACAGAACCCACACAGGCAATCTATGCAATCAGTATATTGTAGTCATTCTGCTTTATATTTTGTTTAGTCTGCTGGTTATTGTCAGGTTTCATGCTGTACAAAGACAGAACAATTATCTTAACTCTTTCATTACCAGACATAGATTATTTAACTGACTTAATCCCAGAAATTTTTATCTTAGGAAACATGTTATGATCAGCACGAGTTTAAATGCTGTTACTCAATCACTGAAGAAGAAAAAAAATCAAAGCTTTTGAATTGAAATGCTACAGTAATTTTTTTTTTTTGAATACCATGAATCAAGAAGATAAACACAGACATCCTTCATGAATATTGAGGAGAACTGTTTCATAAACAGCATCCTGTCCTGAAAGCGCAGGTATTTCAGACTATTTAAAGATTACGGTGGCCTAGAGAGAAAGGTGTTAAAAAGTACAGTGTTTGGAAAATGATGCAGAGGCAGATCTCTGCAAACATGGATACAAGATACTAAAGAAGCACTGACTATGAAAGCACATAGGGTTGGAAAATTAGAGAAACAGAGACTTTCACATGTGCCGTGATGAGAGCAGCATTCTGTAAAGAACCCGCGGATTGATGATGAGTTTGAATAATAAGGGCATGAAAGAGGAAGAGTTAAAGTAACAGCTAGAGTAAAGTGGAGTTAACAGTTAGACATGGAATGAGGAGTTAAGATGTATGTCATCGGCTGCAAACTGCTATGGAAATGTCTGCTTTGTCTGCTTGTTCATCCATTTCTGGGCTTTGGTCTTGTTCTTGCACTCTAAAGGAAAGTTTCATTTTATAACATGCTTGTTAAGAGGCGCAGTAGGTCTATTCTTCCCCAAGAATATGAGCCCAAAAATCTAAACTGAGAACTTGCACAACTGAAGCGTGTTAATTCCATCACAGCTTTGTAAACGAGCCTGTAACTTAAACAGTCCATCCTCTCACTGCCACAGACTCCTGTTTTTCTAGAGGAATAATCCACAAGGAGGTTGTCTGCTCTCCTTAAAGTGGAGACCACCAACTCCTGTTTATCAATTTTCTGTATTACTGACAGATAGTACATTGACTTTAGCAACATTTGCAAAATAATCAAACAAACATAATCCTTTTTTTTTTCTATTAACATGTTACCACATAAATCATAGGCTAACAATTTTTTGAGTCTGCATAACAAAAATAGCTCACACAAACAATTAATCCCTGATGCAACCTTATTTTCAAACAAAACATTCAAACAAGGGAAGATAATTTGAACTAAGATGTGAGACTTACCTCCTCTTGTTGACTTAGTAACGCCATGCAGTGACTTAAAGCTTGATACATATTCTGGGAAGACTTGAGAATATCCATACACTGGGTGGTCACTATTCGCAGGTCAGCTGACAAAGAAGTGAATGATAGTAGTTAGTCAATAAATATAAGGCAGTATATTTATGACAATGTACAAAACCATAGGGTCTTCATATGTATTTTCAAATGTGTGTTGGCTCAACCACTGAGGTTGGCTGCAGTGTATGTATGCAACAAATGATATCTTTGGCAATACTGTGTGGTGTGAGACTCTGATCTCATCTGCAGTGACACTCTCTTAATACTTTTCAGGCATCAAGAACAGTCTTTTTCTAAATTGTCTGCTGTGAAAAAACTGAATCCTGAGGGTTTGTAAAATTTGTTGACTAACCTCTTAACCATAGACCCACCCCAGAACTTTCACTGACTGAGTCTGCTGGTTTCCCAGCTACCAACTGAGTTCACCACACTTTGTGAGGCAGCTAAGTAGAACCACCGCCTACACTTCCACTTAATTTGTCTTCCCTACGGGCTGCAGATCCTCCATGTGAATGGCTTGATAGATTACAGGACATCTCCGGTGAACTCTCTTGCAGAAAATAACTGTTGCAGTTCAGGAGGTACGCCAAATTCTGCGCACTGAGAAGCTGTCAAGACTAGGATCTGCACTGGCCAAAAATATGGGAGCTTCCACAGGTTCAGCCCAAGACCTGGTTAGAATTAAAAGGAATACCATGCCTTTTCACAGGTGTGAAGCTCTATTACCTGTACCACACATAGCTATGGTTCCTGAGCTGGAAGAGAGGCAGGAGAGATCTGCCCTACAGTCCCTGTGGATATGTTATTTTCATACAGGTTTTGGCAGAAAGTCTCTATTCTACCTCAGCCTGATGGATGCAAGCTTTTTCATTTCTTTACTGCTTCATTTTTTTTTTGTGTCAGTTCCTTATAGTCTTTGGCTTCTGTAAGAAAAAAAAAATTTATTTTCGCTGCCATTAAATATCTCTCAGCCTGACGCCTTATTGTCCTTGTTTCACATGTATACAACAGATCAAGTTTTGTATAGCAATTTAATAAATTTTCTCACTGCCGTTGACAGCTGTGTCGGTATTTTACATGGCAAACATGTTTAACACATTTCGGTCACCCACCCCATCGCCTCAGTGTCTTCCAGGTATGATGGTCACCTGAAATTGAGGACAGTCGAGACTTGACATGCGACAATCAACACTGAACTTACCTGGCGTTATCACTTGCCCGCCCTTTGATCCACTCTCCCCACTGAGAAGTTTAGAAATCTGCTCTATGCACTGTTTCAGTATATTGACTTGTTTCTCTAAATGCCCACGGTGTGCTTGGGCATTCTAAAAGATGAAACACTTTTTATTAAAAAGAATGTTACAGTATGACTACAAACAATTGTCATTACTGACTATATTTACAACTTTTTAGAGTAATTTAACAACTGATGGCAAATGTTTAAATTAAAAACAAAACAAATTTGATGTAACTTCTAAAGTTACCAAATTAGTGAATATATAAAATTCTAAAATAATGGAGGCAAACATTCTCAAAATAATATATGGGTCAATTATCCACATGCAGACGTACACAAAGTCAGTAGCATTTGGTATTCAAAGAAAAAGTGTATAATAATAATAAGCATATTTTCTGCTGCTGTTTAACAGCCGGTTTATCCATGTTATCTCTTTTAATGAAAATGTCACAAACAGCATCATTTTGTGTGTGCCTCTTCACAGAAGTGAGAAGTTCCATTACCAGTCTACCTGGTCTCTGAGCTAGGAGAGAGGAAGGAGAGCTCTTTAACACACTCACTGCACTTTGACACAGGGGGAATGGAGGAGAGAAAGGAACTCTTCACATCAACCCTTCTCTAACAGGCTGGACCGACATGAATACTTATGTTTCAGAAGTTAAGAGTTAAAACATTGTCAAGGCTGGACCGACATGAATACTTATGTTTCAGAAGTTAAGAGTTAAAACATTGTCAAGGCTGGACCGACATGAATGCTAATGTTACAGAAGTAAAGAGTTAAAACATTGTCAAGGCTGGACCGACATGAATGCTAATGTTACAGAAGTAAAGAGTTAAAACATTGTCAAGGCTGGACCGACATGAATGCTAATGTTTCAGAAGTAAGAGTTAAAACATTGTCAAGGCTGGACCGACATGAATGCTAATGTTTCAGAAGTAAGAGTTAAAACATTGTCAAGGCTGGACCGACATCAATGCTAATGTTTCAGAAGTAAGAGTTAAAACATTGTCAAGGCTGGACCGACATGAATGCTAATGTTTCAGAAGTAAGAGTTAAAACACTGTCAAGGCTGGACCGACATGAATGCTAATGTTTCAGAAGTAAGAGTTAAAACACTGTCAAGGCTGGACCGACATGAATGCTAATGTTTCAGAAGTAAGAGTTAAAACATTGTCAAGGCTGGACCGACATGAATGCTAATGTTTCAGAAGTAAGAGTTAAAACATTGTCAAGGCTGGACCGACATGAATGCTAATGTTTCAGAAGTAAGAGTTAAAACATTGTCAAGGCTGGACCGACATGAATGCTAATGTTTCAGAAGTAAGAGTTAAAACACTGTCAAGGCTGGACCGACATGAATGCTAATGTTTCAGAAGTAAGAGTTAAAAACATTGTCAAGGCTGGACCGACATGAATGCTAATGTTTCAGAAGTAAGAGTTAAAACATTGTCAAGGCTGGACCGACATGAATGCTAATGTTTCAGAAGTAAGAGTTAAAACACTGTCAAGGCTGGACCGACATGAATGCTAATGTTTCAGAAGTAAGAGTTAAAACACTGTCAAGGCTGGACCGACATGAATGCTAATGTTTCAGAAGTAAGAGTTAAAACACTGTCAAGGCTGGACCGACATGAATGCTAATGTTTCAGAAGTAAGAGTTAAAACACTGTCAAGGCTGGACCGACATGAATGCTAATGTTTCAGAAGTAAGAGTTAAAACACTGTCAAGGCTGGACCGACATGAATGCTAATGTTTCAGAAGTAAGAGTTAAAACACTGTCAAGGCTGGACCGACATGAATGCTAATGTTTCAGAAGTAAGAGTTAAAACACTGTCAAGGCTGGACCGACATGAATGCTAATGTTTCAGAAGTAAGAGAAAACACTGTCAAGGCTGGACCGACATGAATGCTAATGTTTCAGAAAACACTGTCAAGGCTGGACCGACATGAATGCTAATGTTTCAGAAGTAAGAGTTAAAACATTGTCAAGGCTGGACCGACACAATGAAATGCTAATGTTTCAGAAGTAAGAGTTAAAACATTGTCAAGGCTGGACCGACATGAATGCTAATGTTTCAGAAGTAAGAGTTAAAAACATTGTCAAGGCTGGACCGAATGTAATGCTAATGTTTTCAGAGTAAGACTTAAAACATTGTCAAGGCTGGACCGACATGAATCAATGTTTCAGAAGTGAGTTAAACATTGACAAGGCTGGACCGAATGAATGCTAATGTTTCAGAAGTAAGAGTTAAAACATTGTCAAGGCTGGACCGACATGAATGCTAATGTTTCAGAAGTAAGAGTTAAAACACTGTCAAGGCTGGACCGACATGAATGCTAATGTTTCAGAAGTTAAGAGTTAAAACACTGTCAAGGCTGGACCGACATGAATGCTAATGTTTCAGAAGTTAAGAGTTAAAACACTGTCAAGGCTGGACCGACATGAATGCTAATGTTTCAGAAGTTAAGAGTTAAAACACTGTCAAGGCTGGACCGACATGAATGCTAATGTTTCAGAAGTAAAGAGTTAAAACACTGTCAAGGCTGGACCGACATGAATGCTAATGTTTCAGAAGTTAAGAGTTAAAACATTGTCAAGGCTGGACCGACATGAATGCTAATGTTTCAGAAGTAAGAGTTAAAACACTGTCAAGGCTGGACCGACATGAATGCTAATGTTTCAGAAGCAAAGAGTTAAAACACTGTCAAGGCTGGACCGACATGAATGCTAATGTTTCAGAAGCAAAGAGTTAAAACACTGTCAAGGCTGGACCGACATGAATGCTAATGTTTCAGAAGCAAAGAGTTAAAACACTGTCAAGGCTGGACCGACATGAAATCTAATGTTTCAGAAGCAAAGAGTTAAAACACTGTCAAGGCTGGACCGACATGAATGCTAATGTTTCAGAAGTAAAGAGTTAAAACACTGTCAAGGCTGGACCGACATGAATGCTAATGTTACAGAAGTAAGAGTTAAACACTGTCAAGGCTGGACCGACATGAATGCTAATGTTTCAGAAGTTAAGAGTTAAAACACTGTCAATGCTGGACCGACATGAATGCTAATGTTTTCAGAAGTAATTAAAACACTGTTGGACCGACATGAATGCTAATGTTACAGAAGTAAGAGTTAAACACTGTCAAGACTGGACCGACATGAATACTAATGTTACAGAAGTAAGAGTTAAACACTGTCAAGGCTGGACTGACATAAATGCTAATGTTACTGAAGTAAGAGTTAAAACACCGTCAAGGCTGGGCCGACATAAATACTCATGTTTCAGAAGTAAGAGTTAAAACACTGTCAAGGCTGGGCCGACATGAATACTCATGTTTCAGAAGTAAGAGTTAAAACATTGTCAAGGCTGGACTGACATAAATGCTAATGTTTCAGAAGTAAGAGTTAAAACACTGTCAAGGCTGGACTGACATGAATGCTAATGTTTCAGAAGTAAGAGTTAAAACACTGTCAAGGCTGGACCCACATGAATGCTAATGTTTCAGAAGAGTTTAAACACTATCTTTTAGAAGAATCCCTTCTGCATTCATCCTTAAAAGAGCGACTGACATGTTGTGTTGTGGTTTACAGCAAGGCTGTGATGTCTGTGCCTTGCGGCTCAAAAAATTTATTTTCAGCAATTCTCCCCCCCCCCCCCCCCCCCCCCACACTGGGGACTGGAGCCTATATGGGAAAGATAATTCCTATATAACAATAACCTTACATTGTTTTTGTTTTATTTAAAGAAAGGACTGGAACAAATCAATAACTTTAACAACACATCCAGAATAAAAGTATACAAGATATATTTTTTAATGTATGAATGAAAGAAAAGACCAATAAACTGCAGAAACAATGCACCAAAAACATACAAGAAACTGATCAAATGTTACAGCTGATGATGCAGTACCTGGAGAGAGTCTTGCATAGTTCCAAGGGAGACAATATCGTCTGCTGGGTCGTCAACAATGTCTTTCCCTCGATGTGTGTAGTGAGTACTGAACGAAATGTGTTCTCGCAAGGCATTCAGCCATTTCTGAAATACATGTTTACAAGCATGCTAAAGTAATGACTGATCCGCAGCAAATGTCTTGTATATGCTAACTGGTTTTACTTATTTCATACCTTTTTCATCATATGTCTTTTGTTGCTGGTAATCATAATGGAGCAGGTCTTTGCAGAACGTCGATCACTTACTCAAATTTGTCCCTTTTAGGACGAAATTTTTTGTCATTTGAAGCCCTACTCTGGCTTTTGCCAGGGGCCGCAATATAGGCAGGCCATACATATGGCCAAATGTCTGAACGCGGTTTCTGGGACCTCTTCATGGCGATCCTCATCCGCATGGTGGCACTTTGTGTCATCGGGTGTTTATCGCTTGTGTGATGTCCTGGTGGGGTAGAAAGTCAGAACGTCGATCTCATCACGGTCTGCCTGAAAGAAACTCATAGTCTCTCGCCAGCTCTCCTGCCTCGTCCACTTTCATATTCAAGGAGTCACATCCTGTGCCCATCTTCGTTTTGGTCCTCTTGTTGATTGTGATTTCTTTTGATCTTGTTGCTGGACCAACATTTAATTGCAAATTCTTTCATGACCTTGCAAACCTGCATGTCCTCGATAGTATATCCAGGAAAGTCTCTTAGTTAGCTGCGTATCCTCTACAGGATGTTGCAGAACCAACCTCAGGATTGTTTTTACTCTTTGTGATTTCACTAGGCAATTTTATTTTCAATAGTTTGCCATTGCTTGCTGAACAGTCAGCTCTTGATACCGCTTTTGAAATCAACGCAAGTGAGGTCTGCTGACAAATCACCTTCAGCTGGAATCGAACTCAACAACACGGAATTACAAAACGCATTCACAATGCTAAAGCCACAGATGCTAACTGGCTTGAATTCCTTTCAAAGTTGTTGTCTTCCCCCGTTTTCAATAATTTTCCACATAAATGACATGCTTTAGTTAGATCGGACACTAACTCCAGTTACCTTCCGCAAGCTGGGGTGTCTGAGATGCTTCCAACATGACTAACTTTTATTCAACAGAAAACCCAAGATGTTGAATACAAGAGAGAAAGAGAGAGAGAGAGAGAGAGAGAGAGAGAGAGAGAGAGAGAGAGAGAGAGAGAGAGAGAGAGAGAGAGAGAGAGAGAGAGAGAGAAGAGAGTGGGGTGGGGGGAATGGGAGATGCCTTTCACTGTTGGTAATGTTTTCTTCATAACTTTTACGTCTTCCAGTCACATGACTTTAATCCTACGCCCAGAGGGAAATGATGACAACAATATCAACAAAGCTCAAAAAGGAACTTTGTCAACATAAGGAACATATAGTAAATCTCAGACTTTCACTGATGAGTACATTGTGATAAGGAACTGTGTATTTCAGTGGAAAGGATTAATTTTTGTTGATGTAACTTTATAGCAAGGCACCTGATGAGATGCAATAAAATATACCAGGCAATAAATTGTGCATTACCGTGAAACCCCAGGGTATGAGTCTATCTGGATACAAGTTTTTCTGGACAAATGTTCAGGCTTGCCAATCACACCCCCCCCCCCCTCCCAAATGAGGCAAATTCCAGGATGTGAGCTCGAGAGACGAGAACTCAGCCATGTTAACACTGCCGAATGAGGGCTTAAGCCAGTCGACAAGGCACATGATGATGATAGACTGGCATCATCGTCAAAAAGTACCCGCTGTTTTCTGCTGCCGGCAAAAATAAGCAGTGCAACACTTCCCTGATAACGAAACAAAAAAAAAGTGTCATTTTAAAACTAACTGGGTGATTTTTGGAGGGAAGAAACGAATTCAAATTATTTACATTAACTTTAATCAGAAAAATAGTTCCAGGACACAATAATCGACTATACGAACTCAGTCACGGAAAGGATTACATTTCTCTCCCTTGGTTCCACTGTATATTATATGTGCCTTCACGTAAAATAAAAATAACATTTGACAATAATTTCAATATTTAAAAATGCAAACAACAAAACAAATAACGGTATTATTACTTACAACTTTACGTTTAAACATTTACAGTAATCTACATATCCGTTACCTCTCATGTTGGATGCAATTTTCCGTTATTTGAATCCCTACCCTGGCTTCTGCTGCGGGCCCTAGCCGGCGCATATATATATATGGCCAAGCCATAGACATGGCCTAACGGCTGAAAGGGATTTCTGGGACCTCTCCATGGGTGATCCTCATCCACATGGTGGCACTTTGTGTCACCTGTGTTTATCGCTTGTGTGATGTCCTGGTGGGGTAGAAAGTCAGTCAGTTACAGTAATCTGTCTGCTCACCTGTAGAGTTACCTGTGACCCACTTGAAGATTCCAGGTGCAAAGTGTGTGATGAGCCATCAGAGAAGCTGATTTTTATTTCACCTGGATCCAGTTTGTTTGTCTGTGGATCAAACACAAGATCCCATAAATTCTCACATCACCTACATTGCTGATGTGATGCCTGTCAAAATCATTGAGTTGCTGTGGTTTGTTTGGTGGGGGAGGTGGGTAAATGACCACGTACAACCCTGCAGAAGATAACTTCAGTTATAATTATGGTCTGGCTTTATTTGTGCCAAGTTCAATGGCTTAAATGTTGAGCCAGTAGCTGTAGCTTATTGTCCCTAACTGTGTGGGATGTTGTCCTGTCCAAACATGTCTGGGTCCTCTCTGGTGGTCCTGTGGTCCTGATGGGGTTTTTGTTTCCCATCCATCTTCCTGGCTGTACATCCTGTATCCTGGGTAGGACTGTTATTTACTGTTGGATTGTTCTCCTTATATCATAAGTGGTGATACTCTTCCTGAGGTATTTTGTCCTGTCAACCGACCTTAAGGCCCTTGTCATCTTTTTTTTTTTGTTTTGGGTTGTCTGTCTTCTCCTGTTGTAGGGTCCTAATATAGGTTGGTCCTAGTGAGGCTCCTTGTTGTCCTCTGAGAGTTCCAGACAAGTGCTAAGGCTGTCATCAATACTGCTATGTGCCGAATGATCTTAAATCATTGAGAACATGTTACAAATATCTATGGAGCTACAGAAGCCATGGTAGTGTAGCGGTCAGATGCTCGCTTGCATACCAATAAATGCAAATGTAAACCAGGAAATGTTTGGAAAAGTAAAGTGGCAAATGTGTTACAGACTACACTACAACAAAAGTGCTGATTTGTTTATAGAAATATCTGCACAGAGGCATACATCAGGATGCCACTAGGTCACGATTCAGCCCAGCACAAAACTGGCTAGGATCAGGCAAAACGGTAATGTCTTCTCCAAGGTTTTATGTACTTCAGTGTCATCAGACCAACGCCCAGAGAGTATCACATAAATAAAGAGACGAGGGAGGACCTTTGAGTCTGTGTGTGTGTGTGTGTGTGTGTGTGTGTGTGTGTGTATATATATATATATATATGTATATATATATATATATATATATATATATATATATATATATATATATATATATATATATATATATATATATATATATATATATATATATATATATATATACACACACACACATATGCAAGCACGCACACATACACTAAATAAACAGAAATTGTATTAGTCAATATTCACAGAAAGACCTAAAACAACAGAAGGACACAAGAAACAATATAGAACAGAGAGTATCAGCTTAGACTAGGTTTATCTCTTGTAGGCAAAGGGGATTATGTGAATAACTTACAAAAACTTTGGCTTCATCCAGGTACTTCATTCCTTTCCGTTTGGCACCCGTAGAAGCGTCACCTCTGTAGTCAAACCATGCATGATAGAACAACGTGAAGAATGTATATATATACACAAATGCATTTTTGACTAAAAATGAATAACCCATGACAGCAATAAAACACTGGCTATAAATAACAAGTCAGGGATTGTGATGAATCAGGCATATGATGCTAGACTCATATTTTTGAAGACCCACCCACCCTCAGTGGTTGAGGTCAACACCATGCCAGTCACCTTTTTTTCCAGGTCTTCACAAAGTACCCATTTTAGGCTGAACCTGGGAGCAAAGGTCATTTCTGAAAAGATAAAAAAACCGACTTGGTGCAGCTTTGAACAGAAAACCGCCCAACAAACATGGGCTGTTCTGGCTGATAAATATCACTGGTACTTCAATCACTGTCCAAATTTTGTAACACCATGTTTCTGTAAAAAATTCTAGTGCAGGATCACTTTAGTTACTCATGTGTGTAGGTTTGATAACATCTGGTGAGGAGAGGAGTGGGTCAGAATGTCCCAGGAAAAGTCAGACTTGTGAAGGGTCCTAATCACACTAGGCCGTCAGTGCAGGGACGGGCCAGCGGGAGCTGAAAAACCAGAAGTTCGATAAATGATTTAAGACAATTCTCACCCAGGTGATGTGATAATCTGTTCAGATGGCTCTGTGGTGAGAGGCAGAAGAAGGTCATAGGGGTTCTTAGCAAAGGTGCTAGGTGCAACAAAGCCTGGCATATAACATCATAACATCTAGTTTGAATGATGGTGGAGGCAGTCACTGCAGCATTCCGCTGGCTTGAAAATCAGCTGTACATCTCATAATTGATAAGAAAGGTGGATATCGGTTTGCTCCATGAAGAGTGGCAAACATCGCTTCAGAGGTCTCGGGTAGTTAGCCTCCTTGGGATATTTTCTCAGGAAATGCAGGTGTATTGGGAAATGAACAGGCAAATAGACTGGCTGGTTCTGCACCACACGGTGGTGAACTGATGCATGCCAAGCTAGATGTTGTAAGAACCCTTTTGGAGTGAATGAACAATCTGAATGGCAGACCAACAGGGCAGAAATGTTTAACCACCAAGGAAGCTATAATTGGAGCACCCATAACAGCTAACCAATTTGGTGTCACCTGCAGCCTTGTGTAATGGATAATGACAGATCAAACAGCCCTCAACAGGAGTTGTGGTTGAAGCCACACTGCCAGCATGTGATGATACATGAAAATAAAATGACGACACAAGGGACACTGACAATAAAGACTACACTACCTGTTCTGGAAATAGGAAAGCACACCCCGGTCCAGCACCACCCACAACTGCTTGTAGCCGACAAACCGGGACTTCTGAGAGAGAGAGAGGACAAACACATACGTACATGACACAATACTGCATTATCTCATCATCATCATCACCAAACAGCATGTCCTTTACAGAAGGTGACTCTCTTTCTCGAGCCAATTCTCCAGCCCTTTGTTCTTTCAAAGCCAATACATCTTCAGTGTCTTGTACGTGTTCTGCAGACCTGGCCTATTCGCATGCTGTCTTTTGGTTCCTCATCTCTTAGACAGATGCACTCCAACTTTGAAGAAATAACCCATACTTAGTCAGTCGCCTGTTAGGATCTGCTTGTCAGGGAACCACTGGGTCTATTCTTTTTCCCCGCACTGGAGGCAAACAATCAAACGATAAAAAGGTTTAGCTGCATATTCATTTAGAGGATGGTGCAGAACCAAGCCAAGTTTTTTTGTTGCTGTTTGTGATTTTACTAGTCAATATGTTTATTTCAGTTGTCTGCCACTGCTTTCTGAACATAGCTCTTGATTATGTTGTTAAAATTAAAGCAAAATTGTTGACATGATGTTAGAACTTGAAAAAGATTACGAACCAAGATCCATTCTATCTAGTTTCCCTACAAACGTAACATTTCTAAGACACATCTTGTACATTCTGCCGGTGTTTTTATTTATAAGCTGGAGCGTGTAACACAATCACAATGGAGATACAACTTTGGTAACAGGTCAGGTGTTCAGTCTCTTTATTTACTAGTTATAAAATCAAAACACAAAATTAAATTAACTTAGATACATGGCAACCACTTTCTACAGAAGAACATCTGGGTGGAAGGTGAGAGGAAGACCAAGGAAAATATTGACAGACTGTGTAGCTGGACCCTGCAAAAAGATGAACAAATCCACCAATCAAGTCATTTGAGAACTGCAAATACAAATAACCACAACACTGAGCCAAAAGAAAAGATAAAAACCCTTTTCAGGTTCTGACAACTGGAATGCCAGTTTAAACTCATCTTTCAAAAGAAACACAGCATAGACATCAAATGTTTACTTCGCATCCATGTTTACCCGTTCTCTCTGAAGCTACTTATTCATCTGTTTGAGTATTTTACATTTCATTTCAATCTACTTGTTTCATCGTACTCCTTCTCTGATTATTTAGATCTTCTTCTTAGTGTTTACCGGTTGTAAACTTTCACAGAATGTTCCTGGTTGTTCATCCACTTCTAGAATTTAGGTCTTGTTCCAGAATCTGAGATTTGCTTGCACATCCATTTTACAGATCTGCTTACTGTAAGCAATCTGTTGGTTCCTTGTCTCTCAGGTCTCTTGTAGGAAAAGACTGAAATTAGTCACCGTTTACAATATGCTCGATAGGGAGGCAGTGGGTCTGCCCCCCCCCCCCTCCAAAATGGGACCCAGGAACCCACATGTGGATCCATAGATCTTGATCCTTAGTGTGCCAACAGTTAATACCCCCAGACTGACTGGCAATAACGCATCAGCTACACACTGTGGCTCCTAATAGATATACATCATTTAGCAAATAAAACAAAATGTTTTAGGACAGACACAAGTATACAAACCTTGAGTAAAGTTCCTTCGAACCTCTGGGGCTGCAAACAGATCTCCCTGATGGACTGGAGTCCCAGTACCTGCTTCATGCTTGAACTGTGAGCCACATCGTATGCCAGCTGGCCTGTAGAGCCACAAATACTTTAGCAAATCTTTGTCTTTTTTGTGTTCACTGACTGTAAACTGACTGTTGTTCATCCACTTCTGGACTTTAGTCTTATTCCAGAACTTGAGTTTTGTATGCACATACATTTTACAGACCTGGCTTATTTGTATGCAGACTGTTGGTTACTTTCTTCTCAGGCAGATGCACTCTGTCTTCAAAGGAAACCTCTTAATTAGTCTACTCTTATGATGTGCTTGTGAGGGAGGCAGTGGGTCAATTCTTGTTCTTCCAACAATGGGGCCCAGGAATCCACACAGGGAGTTCAGCAATTAAGCCGAGGATCCTTCTCCAAGGAGCCTTCTCCATCAACTATGTTTATTGTTTATACTGACCTAGTCCCATATATTATTTATAACCCTGCGTGGGTTCAGGGACCCATTGTGGGAGAATAAGGGAGAGACAAATCACCCCCTTAACATAAAAATAGGCTCTAGGTATACACTTATGACAGATATATGTACTTGTGTGTGTGTGTGTGTTCCAACACATATACACATATGTCTCACAGAAACAAAATTCCGTATGTCACCCTACACAACTATATTTCCCACACGTATACGAAGATCCCCTGCCGGTCAAAATGGACGCTAGGCAGCGGCACTGTTCGAAACAGAGGCACATTTTTTTTGCTTCTGCCGGACGGTGGCCGATGCATTTTTGCTCCATTTGTAGACTGGATATAGTTTTGTCGCCCAACTTCTGAGCTGAATGCATGGCGTGACCCTGTGAGCTGCGGATTGCATTTGGAATGTTTTTTCGACTGTGACCAACGTGTTGGTGTGAATTGTAGATTCAGAAAATGGCACGATGCCTGTCGTGCAGTGTTGTGGTGCCCGTATGTGATTAAAATTGATCGCGTGGGCAACTGCTGATCTGTTGGCGACTTCTGCTACCATCAATGATGAACTGCAATTCTAATACTGTGATAAACATACTGTGTGTTTTTCGTTGGCACAGGAGCGGAGCAAAGATGGGGTGACCAGTTTGCTATGAAGCTGAAACTAAGACTACCAGACCCCCTTAACCAAAATGTTGTAAAAAGCGACTAATTAGCACTTTACTGAAGTCAAATAAGCTGGGTCGAAAGACATAGATGTTGCAGCCGAGCTGTAAAAGATATTATTTTCAGAACAACTTCACTGCATGAGCACCACAACTGTCATTATTTCCTGTATTTACCAATTTTGCAGATGGGAGAATGGTTCTTTGAGTCTGAGCATTTAAGGTTGAATGGCTAGTGCTGTCGCCACAGACTGCTCAGGTTAGGATTTTATTTTTGCCCACAACAGGACCAAAAAAAAAAAAAACTCCACAACCTTAGCTAGGATTTAAACATGGGTCTCCCACTTAAGAGCCATGTGTGTTCTGAACCATTCAACAATTCGCTCCTCAGTGAGTGAGCCAATTTATTAATTAATTAATGAATGAGCCGGTCAATCACAATCAAACGATCTGTACTTAATTTTGATGACTGATTAAGAATCTACATCACAGTACATCAGGTTGCTGATGACTAGTGTAAGAATGTGGGAATGAGGGATTAGGTGTGGATCAGTCAAGGAGGAGTGTATGAGAGGAAAAAAAAACAATGAGTTCATAACCAGTGTGCTACGAGAACAGTCAGCATCTATACCTGCAGACATTTTCTGCGAGAGACAGAGCATCTATGAGTATGCCCAGCGTGATAGGATCTCAATTCCGAAACCACAAAGTCAGAGAATATATCTCAAAGTAATTCATTTTCACGCTTTAAGACATGGTAGCTCTGTTTCTTCTTCATCTGCCTTTCTAGCCCCCACTGGAGCATAGGCCCTCAACCAACGCAAACCAAGTCGTTCTAGCCTTTTCTATCACATGCATTTCTCCTCGTGTCCGTCCTACATTTTTAACTTCACTCTCTAGCTTCCTTCTACGTGTGTTTTTTGGTCTTCCTTTATTTCTGTGCCCTTGTGGGTTCCAGTGCAAAGACATTCTAGTTATATTCTTCTCATGTTTTCTCCATATGCGCCCTATCCAACACCAGTGTCTTTTCTTTACCTCTTAGCCCATAGGCGCTTGCTTAATTCTCTCCCAAAGCTCATTATCAGTGATTCTATCATACCATTAAATTCCCTCTATTCTGCAAAGGAACCAGTTAATGAACGTTTGTAGTTTATTTAGTAAGGCCTATTTACATTAACAGTATATTTATTATATACTTTTTCTTCTGGTTTTCATCTCCCATCAGAGCCTAGGTCCTAAGCAACACAGACCAAGCTCTTCATACACTTGTCTACCACTGGCTGGATGCTGCAGGTACAGTCTTCTATAGAACGAAGTAGACGTCTCGTGGTAACCCTCCTTGATAAGTAACAAGGGCCATTATTTATGTTAAAGTCATGAGAGTTATCACACCTGATTTGTTCCTGGCATTTGAATCAATGCCATGCTGCAAAAGTAGAACAGCGGCAGGACCGTGCCCCCGTAATGCTGCCAGGTGTAATGCTGAGTTCCCATGTGTATCTTGTACATTGATGTTCAAGCTTCTAGAATGGTTTAACTGGCAACAAAAACAAACAGAAATCTACAGTAAACATGGTTGAAAGCAATCGGTACTACTGGAAAATTAATTATGCATATCAGAGTAGAATGTTTCTCGAGAATGTAGTTTTCCAACTGTGTGACTCCAGTAGAAAAGTTTTTCAAATTCTTTCTCAGATGGTATATCTTTTTAAGTCAGTTTCAACTTCACTGCAAATGTGTCGCTCCCACAGTTGCTCTGTTCCTATGCTAGTGGAAATCACACGGAATGCCCAGTTTTGTCCAATTTTGAAAACTAGTCAGCAAACAATTCTTCCTAGCAAAATCCAGAAACATGCACATGCAGCAAATGCATAAGGCTGCTGCTAGAGATACCAACACTAACTTGTCACCAGAACTGCAATTTGTTACTGATGGAAGTATGTAGTCAGTTATGATGAGCTAGCCCTACACATGCTGCAACCCAAATGCAAACTGGCTACCCATCCTTTTCTAATATCATGACACAAGTGCTGTAGGCACACATTAACGGCATTCTACACAGAATATATAGCTCACAGTGCTGCACAAATCAACAGCCAAGACAGAAACACTTTTACAACCTGGACACACTGTAACCAGGGAAAACGTATTTCAAATCCTTAACAACAGCCAATGGCAACAATAAGATTTCCTAAGTGGCCACAATTCATTACCTGCACCCTGAACTCTGTAAAAAGAATGACATAATTCTGACACTGCAGCTGCCCTGGTAAAACAGGCAGTTGCATTTGTTGAATTTGCACTTCAGTTATAAAGGATTCACTTATCTGCTTCATTTATGAGATTGTCACTGTGGTATGCACCTGACGAGATACAGCAAAATATGCCAGACTAGGGGGGAGGGGTTGAGTCTGAAGATTTAGGGCCGCATGGCTAATGCTGTTGCCACAGACTGTGCAGATCAAGATGTTATTTTTGCGCCCGATAGGAAGAATCCACAACCTTAATGAGGATCTATTGTTTGTGTCTTCTGTGTTCAAATTTACAATGGGGAAAACATTGCTAAGATTGTTAAATACGTCAACAACTCTGCTCATGCTTGAGATGTATGTAGCATGCATATTATGCAAACTCTATCAGTTATAAACCGACTGGCACTCAATGGATGATGCCATCAACACCAAAGATAACACTCATCTCTTATAAACTGAGATCACTTGAAGATAACATTTTCCTCTCATCAGGATAAGATAACAGTTAACTTTAGTTCTCACAGAAATAATGTCAAAGATAACACTCATCTCTTATAAACTGAGATCACTTGAAGATAACATTTTCCTCTCATCAGGATAAGATAACAGTTAACTTTAGTTGTCACAGAAATAATGTCAAAGATAACACTCATCTCTTATAAACTGAGATCACTTGAAGATAACATTTTCCTCTCATCAGGATAAGATAACAGTTAACTTTAGTTGTCACAGAAATAATGTCAAAGATAACACTCATCTCTTATAAACTAAGATCACTTTAAGATAACATTCCCCTCTCACCAGGATAAGATAACAGTTAACTTTAGTTCTCACAGAAATAATGTCAAAGATAACACTCATCTCTTATAAACTGAGATCACTTGAAGATAACATTCCCCTCTCATCAGGATAAGATAAGAGTTAACATTAGTTCTCACAGATAACATCAAAGATAACACGCATCTCTTGCAGAGACAACATAGAGATAGCACTTATTTCTTAAAGAGATAAAACTAAAGATAACATTCATATCTTACAAACTGAGACAACACGAAAGAAAACACTAATTTCTCACTGAGATGGCACTAAATAAAACACTTATCTCTTACTGAACAACATCTAGGATACCATTAATCTCTCACCAGCAGAGGCGACATTAAAGATGAAACACATGTCTTACCAACTGAGATAACATTTCTGACTCCCCTGCCGCCGCAGCTTCCAAAAAATCTGACTCAATCCTCATAGAGGCTGTGCTGTCTGCGGCTGACAACGTGACAAAACAAACATTTATAAAAATACAAGCACCAATGTTGAACAGTTACAGCAGTATAAAAACATTAACAGGCAATGACTGGCAGTCACAGGCAGCTGCTGGAATCAGACTGGTCATGACCTCAGTAAAATGTGCAGACTCCACAACCAGAACTGTTTTCATTGTTGCTGGCTACTGATAACAGTGTCACTGCAAGTTCTCTCTCTCAAAGGAACCAATGAAATCAAAGACGGGTGTATCTTGCTTCTATCCTCTTATACAAACAATATGAGCACTTCCAGCATGCTTGTGATGATTCTAAGCATTCTTGCGAACATTCTCACCCTGGCATATGGAGTTGTAGTTTACAGCTAGACTGCAACATCTACCCCTTTCAACCCAGCACAACTGATTTCAGCAAACCCTGAACTAATCAGTCACCTTTTATGGTGATGATCATCATGTGCTCTGCCAACTGACGTAGGCGCTCAGGCGTCTCCATAAATCACTATCCCTGGTTGCCTGGAACAGCTCTTTTGATGATATCCCTCCAGTCCACCGTTTCAGCTCATCCAGTATCATCTCTCTTGATCTGCCTCTACCCTTTTTCCACTGATCTGTCCACGATTTTTCCAATGTCTCTCTTCTCATTATGTGGCCAAAGAACAGCGTTTTTTTTATGATATGCATGTTAATGAGTTGTGCGACTATTATCTCCCCTCCCAGTTCAACCGAGGCCTTGAAACCCACACAAGAAACAATAAAGTTTATCATTTTGTCATTCAATCTCTACATGGTGGATTAGACAAGACAGTAGTGTACCTTTTCCCCATTTAGTGGCTACATTCTACCAGACGAAACAGAAGTGCATGACCTACCATTTATCATATCAACGATGTGTTGTGTTTTAGCTACATCTCGAGGTTTCTGGCCTTGCGTGTTGAGAATGTTTGTGTCTGCTCCGTGCTGCAAAAGCAGGGCAACCACTTCCTGTGGATCACAAACCACAATCTCATCAATTTATCAACAATATCGTTACAAAAAATAGATTAGATCTACAAAGTAAACTAAATACATGTGATGGCAACAACGGCTGCATGGCTAGTGCTGTTACCACAGACTGTGCAGATCAGAATTTTATTTTAGCACTAACAGAAAGAATGCACAACCATATCAAGGATTTCCCCCGTGTGGGTTCTGGGGTCCCACTGTGGGGGAAAACAAGAATTGACCCACTGCCTCCGTGTGGGTTCCAGGGTCCCACTGTGGGGGAAAACAAGAATAGACTCACTGCCTCCGTGTGGGTTCCGGGGTCCTACTGTGGGGGAAAACAAGAATAGACCCACTGCCTCCGTGTGGGTTCTGGGGCCCCATTGTGGGGAAAACAAGAATAGACCCACTGCCTCCTCAAAAGCATGTCATAAGAGTCGACTAATTGGGGAGCTTCCTTTGAAGTCGGAGTGCATCTGCCGGAGAGGCAAGGAACCAACAGTCTGTATTCAAGAGAATGAGATCTGTGAAACTGATGCACACGCAACACTCAGGTTCTGGAGCAGGACTGCAGTTCAGTAGTGGACGAGCAACCAGAACTTTCCGCCAGAGTGTACAGCTGGTGAACGCAAAGAAGAAAGAAGAAGAAGATATCAAGGATTTGAACCTTGGTCTCCCACATGACAGTGCAGTGTTCTTCACTGTTGTGACCAGCTGCTCCTCAATCACTAACTTGTATGTTGAACTTTGAATTAAGAATCAACATCACAGCACTCGGGACACTCCCATAAGTGCTCAGTCCCCATCTTCAGCAGCAAGCGAAGAGTTTCAATTCCAAAGGGACCAGTAACCGTCTGATTGTATATCCGTCTCATCCTTCCCCTGAGTGTTCAGCTTCGGCCAGATAACCCTGGTACACCTCTCGCAGCGTCATTCTCCTCAGACCGTAATAATCTATCTGAGCATCCGCACTGTTCACTCGCTCCCAAAGGGCCCTCACAACATCCAGCTTGTCATACATCAATTCACCCCCAATATTGGTGCACACCAGCATGACCTCGAGAAAATATCCAAAGGATGCTAACTACCCAGAACCTCTGAAGGGATGCTTGCAGTTAACTCAGGAGTGTATAATTCAATTAGGTCTTTTGGTAGCAAAGGCCAGAAAGATACAAATTAACGCAAGATTTGTTGATTTCAACACATTTACATTCTATTAAGCACAACAATATGATAGCATACGGTTTTAATATTCTTTTTTTTGTTTGTTCAAACAGCCAAACAAGCAATGATATATATTTTAAGGATTTTAGGTAAAAGCTGTGGTAAAGAGAAAAGGCAGGAAACATAATAACATTTAACGTTCATGTTGATGGTACTATAATAAAAAAACAATGAGAATTCAAATATCTAAGAAGCATATTTATAGAAGCAGGCAGACTTAATAGAGATAGAAGCCACAGTACAGAAGGAAAATGCTGTCATCTATCAGTTAGCCTCACTTCATAGACACCCAAATATCTCCCTTCCAGCAAAACAACAAATCATTACTAGCATCTTTATCTCTCCTTTATGCTATAAGTGCCAGACTTAAAATGAATAGGGCACTAGAACAGAAAATAACAACCTGTGAAATGCATTGTCTCTGTAAGGTCTCTAACAATACAAGAAGGGGCAGGGTTACAAATATCAGCGTTAGAGAGAAACCTGGAATAAAACCATGTGTGAATTATATACATAGACAAAAACTGAACTAGCTCGGCCATTTAGTGAGAATTCAGCTAGACCAAACTGCCTACGAGACTTTTTTACAGTAGAACATCAGGGAGGAAGGCAAGGGAAAGACTAAAAAAGAGGTGGATAGATGGTGTAATTGAAACCTGCAAAAAAGATAAACAAATCCGTCACCTAAGCCACCTGAGAAGTGCAAGAGAATACAGAAAACCACGACACTCGGCTACAACCTGGGATCAGTCAGATGACAAGAGAATACAGAAAACCACGACACTTATCTACAACCTGGGATCAGTCAGATGACAAGAGAATACAGAAAAAATCTTTCATGTGCTATGTCAGTAAAGGTCAGCAGTCATTAGTTCACCATTTCACACAATTACCACTGTCTCAGATCAGGTCTGGGATTTTATCCATATGATACCATTTGCCAGGTATTTATATCTTTTGTCTTCTCTTTGCCCTACTCCTGGCAAATTTATACTGTTAGCTGCTCATAGAAAACAAAAACATTTACTGAGATGTTAAGATGAGACATCATTCAATTCAAATCTAGGTCATACCTCCCTTCCTGTGTAAGCAGCCAAGTGGAGACTACTCTCTCCACAAGAGTTGAGAATGTCTGCTCCTGCACCAAACTGTCAGTGGAAAACGTAGCAAAAATGAAAATCAAACTTTCCATCACTGTGTCTGTCTCTCATTCACTCCCCACCTCTCTCTCTCTCTCTCTCTCATTCTATCCATCTTACTCATTCCCACTCTCCCTCCCTCTAATGTCACCAGGACTGCACACCTGATGATATATGAAAATTTATGATGACCAGACAATCAGCATGTTTGACCATTTATGATGACCAGACAATCAGCATGTTTGACCATTTATGATGGCCAGACAATCAGCTTGTTTGACCATTTATGATGACCAGACAATCAGCATGTTTGACCATTTATGATGGCCAGACAATCAGCTTGTTTGACCATTTATGATGACCAGACAATCAGCATGTTTGACCATTTATGATGACCAGACAATCAGCATGTTTGACCATTTATGATGACCAGACAATCAGCATGTTTGACCATTTATGATGGTGCTCAAGATCTTACACCAAACAATCAATCTGCACTGCAAAAGCAAAAAAAAAAAATTATAATACTGACACTCACACATTGTTACCTAAATGCACAGAGCAATGTCTTTCTGTTCTTTTTAGCATTTACTGGCTGTAAGCCCCGTTGGAAAGTTCTGGTTTTTCATCCACTTTTTAAAATTTTAACTTGTTCCAGAACCTGAGTTTTGCAGGCACATCCATTTTACAGATCTGGCTTATTTGTATGCAGACTGTTGGTTCTTCACCTTTCAGGCAGATGCACACCGACTTCAAAGAAAACAATTCTTATGCTTGTTAGAGGAGCAGTGGGTCTTTTTTCCCCCCATAGAGATATCCCAAAACTCACACAGGGAGAAGGGACAACCAACCATGAAGAATCCACAAGTCTGGATAATTTCTTATTTACACCTTTAAAATAAATGTGAGACAAGCAGAGGGTGAAAAAAAACGCCAATTCTGAGCCCATGAGGTTTACGGCTGTAGACATCACCCACCTCCATTCATCTCTGTGAATGCCTTCTCTTTTCTGTTTCTGACTACAAGTGTTTGTTGATCTTCCTAAATAAGATCTCTCTGTGGTCTTCTTGGTCTGTCTGTAGGTTTATTCATAGTCAGCTCTTTGCATATTTACTGCTCTCTTTGTGAATCTGAAACTCTTCCTGCAAGCCTCAACTACTGGAGTCTATTAGCGCCCATTATGACAGTAATAAATGGTAATTTAAACAATAATTTCATTGTTGCTTCTCATTTTTCATTCTCCACTACCCTTATCTTTGATGAGTCCAAAGATCCATTGCAAGAATATAAGTACAATAAGTTCATGGCAATATAGGACAACAGGTCTTATCAGTGTTTTATATATTGTGACAAAATCTACTTCAGTCAGAAAACAGCCACTTACTTCAAGTAATACCCGAACAGCGGCTGCATGGCCAAAGTAAGCTGCCAGGTGTAATGGTGTCCATCCCCGATTAGACTTTTCCCTGCCTGATAGGACGCAAATTCCAGTGTTAATAAGCAACGATTAAGCCATTTTCACTCAGTAACATTGGGTCATGACCCAGTGGAAATTCTTGAAAAACCCTTTTAAATATTGTTTATACAGTTTACTAATTAATTATTTTACAATGTATTTACATATCCATTTAAAAGGCCTTTTAATTTTAAAATTAACTGTGACCAGCTGGAGTAATTTAAAACAGTAGGGGTCTCATGGCTTTAAATATCTTAGGGCCTTATCAAGTCTAAACGCAGCCCTGGTGTATGCTACCCTGACGTCCATGAACGTCAGCTTTTAGCATAGTCTCTCCTGTGCAAATCTTCACATCCATAGCAACAACTGATCACAGCAGTGCCGCTACTCTGTTTACTATGGGTGCATCAAGTGCCCACTTGGGAGCAGTTTAAGACCCTTTAAGGACAGCATGTCAAACTGGTGGCCTGCTGTCGCATGCAGCCTTTGCAAGCACATTTATGGTCTGCAACGGGAGGAAATATTCTGTCATCAATTTTATTAAATAATTCCAATCAGTTCTTGTAAATGGCCCTCTTTACGACAAAATCTGACCCTCAAGGGAGCCTCAGTTTGACATGCCTCAGTCACAGCACCGCAAGATGTCAAATATGCTGTGATCTGTACTAACCCAAACTCATCAATCAGCGTGTCCCTTTACATGCCTCAGTCACAGCACCGCAAGATGTCAAATATGCTGTGATCTGTACTAACCCAAACTCATCAATCAGCGTGTCCCTTTACAGAACGTTACTCTCTTTACAGCACGCCTGAAAGTATCCCTTTCTCTAGCCAACTCTCCAGCCCCTTGTGCTTTCAATGCCAATGCATCTTCAATGCCTTGTATCCATCTTGGCGGTGTCGGCCCCTGCCTCGCCTTCCACAAACTGCACCTTACATCACTGTCTTTCCCAGCCACCATGACGATTGATGTGACCAAAATACTTCAACTTTCGGAACAGGATGCTGTTTATGGGCCAGTTCTCCTTGATTTTCAACTAGTTCAGAATGTCGATGTTTTTCCTCTTCCTGATCCATGGTATTCTAAGAATTTTTCTATAGCATTTGATTTCAAAACCTCTAATCTTTTTCCTCAGTGACTGAGTGAGAGTCCAGGACTCACAACCATAAGTTGCCACAGGAAAAATGCATGATCTCAAGATTTTGACTTTAACCAATTTACTAGTGCTTTGTATTACTTTGCTTTACTACCCCAAACTACTTTTAGCACAATCACTGGGCTAGAGGTAAAATGGCTTGTAACACCAGAAATAAATAAATAAAACGGTGCACACCTTTACAATTGACATTAACCCTACTGCCATTCCCTGTCACGCTGTCCATCAGCAACGCATGACTGTCTCCTCCTTTCCGTGACGTGCCGCATACAATAATTCATCTTCAGGCACATCAAACATCTCTGCCAGGTCTGGCTCTCCATCACTGCTGACACCGTTATAGTTCATTCTTTCTGGTGACGACTGGGCAGGTCAAAACATGATGGAGCTTACCTGAAATAGAAATGAAACAGCAATATTACAACTATTTTATGTGTTTCTAGAGTTATGAGCTAAGAACCGATATCATGACATCATAGAACTCTGGATACTCCCATAAGTGCTCTGACCCCATCTTCAGCAGCAAGTGTTCCAATTCTGATGGTACCAGTAACTGTTTGACGTATGTCCATCATTGCCTCCCCTGAGAGTTCACTGTCAGCCAGATCCCTGGTCCTTCCTGGTTGCACCATTCCCTTCAAACCATGATGTTCTATTTTTGACTCTGCATTGTTCACTTGCCCCCCAAAGGGCCCTTGTCATGCATCAATTCATCCCAAAGTGGTACCGAACCAGCCAACCTATCTGCTTGTTCATTATCTGTTTCTACACGTGTGGTGATTTCATGGTCATGGCGCCTGTCCACTCTTGTGTTTCTACACATGTGGTGATTTCATGGTCATGGCACCTGTCCACTCTTGTGTTTCTACACATGTGGTGATTTCATGGTCATGGCACCTGTCCACTCTTGTGTTTCTACACATGTGGTGATTTCATGGTCATGGCGCCTGTCCACTCTTGTGTTTCTACACATGTGGTGATTCATGGTCATGGCGCCTGTCCACTCTTGTGTTTCTACACATGTGGTGATTTCATGGTCATGGCGCCTCCTGTCCACTCTTGTGTTTTCTACACATGTGGTGATTTCATGTCATGGCGCCTGTCCACTCTTGTGTTTCTACACATGTGGTGATTTCATGGTCATGGCGCCTGTCCACTCTTGTGTTTCTACACATGTGGTGATTTCATGGTCATGGCGCCTGTCCACTCTTGTGTTTCTACACATGTGGTGATTTCATGGTCATGGCGCCTGTCCACTCTTGTGTTTCTACACATGTGGTGATTTCATGGTCATGGCGAACTGTCCACTCTCTGCTGTTTCTACACATGTGGTGATTTCATGGTCATGGCGCCTGTCCACTCTTGTGTTTTCTACACATGTGGTTGATTTCATGGTCATGGCGCCTGTCCACTCTTGTGTTTCTACACATGTGGTGATTTCATGGTCATGGCGCCTGTCCACTCTTGTGTTTCTACACATGTGGTGATTTCATGGTCATGGCGCCTGTCCCACTCTTGTGTTTTACACATGTGGTGATTTCATGGTCATGGCGCCTGTCCACTCTTGTGTTTTCTACACATGTGGTGATTTTAACATGGTCATGGCGCCTGTCCACTCTTGTGTTTCTACACATGTGGTGATTTCATGGTCACTTTGTTTTTCTACCACATGGCGCCTGTCCACTCTTGTGTTTCTACACATGTGGTGATTTCATGGTGTGAGTTTCATGGTCATGGCGCCTGTCCACTCTTGTGTCTTCTACACATGTGGTGATTTCATGGTCATGGCGCCCTGTCCACTCTTGTGTTTCTACACATGTGGTGATTTCATGGTCATGGCGCCTGTCCACTATTGTGTTTGCTACACATGTGGTGATTTCATGGTCATGGCGCCTGTCCACTCTTGTGTTTCTACACATGTGGTGATGTGATTTCATGGTTTTACATGGCGCCTGGCATGTCCACAATCTTGTGTTTCTACACATGTGGTGATTTCATGGTCATGGCGCCTGTCCACTGTCTTGTGTTTCTACACATGTGGTGATTTCATGGTCATGGCGCCTTGTCCACTCTTGTGTTTCTACACATGTGGTGATTTCATGGTCATGGCGCCTGTCCACTCTTGTGTTCTATACATGTGGTGATTTCATGGTCATGGCGCCTGTCCACTCATGTGTTTCTACACATGTGGTGATTTCATGGTCATGGCGCCTGTCCACTCTTGTGTTTTCTACACATGTGGTGATTTCATGGTCATGGCGCCTGTCCACTCTTGTGTTTTCTACACATGTGT